CTGGATGTCATGTTCTTCAGAGGCCCGCGCTCTTCCGTGTCTTTCCTGACTTCGTGGCTCCCTACACACCCATAGCTAACACCACTTAGTAGTTAAGTGCTATCTATTTTGGTTGCTCTTCTGTAACCTGTTTTTCGTGGCTGCTAGCTGTTCCGTGTTTTCTAACGCTTAGATGGACTTCACACGTTTTATGGTCCACAATCTTCCGTGGCCCATGGTGTCCCATCGGCGGTACCAGTGCTCTTCCGTGGTTTTGATGTCTCCACGTATTCGTGTGGTTCCGTCGTCTGTGTATCGTGCTGTCGTGGTGTGGCTCCGCCTTTCGTGAAATTGTGGTGCCATGTTGCGATTCTGTCGTCTCGGATGCCGTGAACGTATTGTAAATATCTGTCGTCCGCGTTATCATGTTCTACCATGGTATCGTGCTCCGTGGTGTGGCCTCGCAATGCTCTCCTGTGCTCTCAGCGCTGGTATGTCGTACGTGCTATTGGGTTCTTTATCGTGCTCCGTGGCTCGGCAATTCTCTATCCATTGCTCCTGTGGCTACGTGCTGTCCCAAGGCTTAGTTGCTGCGTATATTTCTGTAGCTCCGTGCGTCCCGTGATATCATGGTGCCATAGTTGGGCTACGTCGTATGTGGTAATATGTTCTACCGTGATATATGCCCTCCTATGGCTCCGTGCACTCCTGTAGTTTCGTGGTTGGGCTTCTGCCGTGACCCCGTGCCCTCACTGGCTGAACCATTTTCCATGCTCGTATCCTTCTGTGATTCCGTCCGACCGTGTACCCTTTTTTAGATGTACTTACCTGTTTACGACATGCCACATCCCGTCCTGTAAGCTCGCATCTTCCACTAAGCTAGAAGGTGTTATTCAGCTCGCACACTACGCACACAAGGTCAAAATTAGCGTTGCCCAATAGGAAAATTTCACTTATTACCCAACCAGCTCCTAGGATGGGTTGCTCGATAACACGGCCTATGCATGCTCAAAATGTACTTAAATTCCTTATCAACAAAATTGATGTGTTATCCCAATGAACACAAACGGTTAATTAATAATATGTACCATCCAATCCTTTTAAATTAATATATAATTTACTTCAAACAATAAGCGTGCTAAGTAAAATAAATAATGCTAGAACTCCGAGGTATGTCCAGCAAATTCGCATGGTCCACGCTATTGTGTCGAATTTTGCGTCTCGGTGTGACTCCTTCAGAACAAACTAAATTATCGCCTTAGTTTAGAAGCACCTGTACTGTTATTTTTCTCAACTCATTAATCTTCTTAGGGAAAGCAATATTATGAAGGCAGCTGTTGGAGGCCAGGATTACACTTTGGGAATCATACAAGATTTAGGTCAGGATTAATCCTGTATCTTGAAACCCCTCATAAATGAATAGCCATATGGGGAAGATTTGAAAAGATTCATCGAAGACGCGTAAGATTCGCAACGTGTGGCTAGCAACGTCGCAGGATTAATCCTGAATATACCACGATTAAATCATGGAAAAGGCTTTTGTATCTTATTAATTGTACCATGATACGGGATTAATCATGTTAGTCAGCTCGAAAGCAATCCTGGATTGAAGACTTGTTAAGAAAATTAGGTTATTGTACAGGATTAATCCTCTTTTCTACATGCATAAATCCTGGTTTAAATTTTCGATGCGATTTTCAATGGAAAGCTACATGTTATAAGTGTTAAGATGCAAAGCTATCGTGCAACTGCGCATATGAATGGCAGCATCGATATGTGAAGCATCTTTGATAGAAATTTTCCCATACTCATGCTTTGATCGGTTTTTCTTTAAGTACTTGATTACGTGAAAGTGACAAATAATCACGCGAGCCTCGGAGAAATGCTCTTCCAGCACGCGGATCTCATTGAGATCCTTGTCGACAACATTTACCCGCAGCAAATGGATGCGTGTCGGATGTGATCGTTTGAAGTGCGCAATTGTTCTATCCATGTGCCAGTCGCCACTGGCCTCAATGAGAGACTGCTACATGACAGCGCCTTTACCAAACTCGCTCATCCCCATGAAGGTGAGTAGTTGATAATTGTATCTGTACAAAAAAGGCATGGAAAAATCATATTAGCTCCAGGATTAGTCATGTACATATAAAAGGGGTTAATCCGTTTGTCTTGTGGCTGCAGTCGACCATAAAAACCTCACTAAACCTCCTGTAAATGCGCGGGTTGTAGCTAGTGAAATAACCCCAGTTTCCCCAACTTCGGTCTCCGCTACCATAGACACGTTCTCCGAATCCGCGGCTGCAAATACTGCAATCTCCCGTGCTGTGGCCTCATTATCATCTACATTGGAGACCGAGGAAGCGTGACCTCGCACCTAGTTGTCCACGTCAACATGGATCACGTTTTGGTCGTGCTCCAGAAGATAATCATAGATGCCGGATCGTTTGGCTCTAACAGCCAACATATCATCAGCGCGGGCGCTCACTATAGGGGCTTTTAGTTCACGTGACGTTGGGTACGTTGCAAACGCAGCCGGAGACACCGCGTGGTTGTGCGTAAACGTCCCGTGTTTCACCTGCAATTTAAGTTTTGCCATAATCAACTGAACGACAAAGCGAAACGGGCATTCCGTCAAACGTATATGCTGCCGAGGTCGACCCCCGCTGCTGCGAGACTTGCGTTTCTTTCATCCACGCGGACAGATGTATCTACGCATGTATGGATCATATTTTTCCGGAACCAGTTGAGAAGCGTTTGTCCCCTTCTTGCTCTTCATCAATCGTCTGATTCTCTCTGCACGTGACATTGTCTCCTATACCGGCAGAGCTTGCAGCGTCCGCTGACAGTACAGCATAAAGTACGCTTACCACGTGCTCCAGTCGGAATGCCACGTAGAAGGCGCCTCCACGGTCATAGAAACTTAGCCATCACCACTTTCATTCTCCACGTCCACGTCCTCGCCATCATTCTCCACCTCCATGTCCTCGCCATTACTCTCAACATCCACACCCACGTCATTACTCTTTACATCCACGCCATCGTCATCAACCCCACATCCAATTCACCCTCGCTCCCCACGTCATTTCCAGATACGGTTTCTTCATCTCTATGCGCAGCCGACCCTTCATCAGCGCTTGGCGTCTCCGTATCACCAGCTGATGTCTGAGAGGCCGGGGCCTCTGCGGCGGGGAGAACCGTCCCGAGTGCGCATGTCACCTTCCTCGTCCTCGACGTCTTCTCACGTCTAGCAACAGAAACCAAAATGAAAGACCATCGCGTATATTTATCTCGATCGAAAATAGCCGAGAACAGAAGTAAATTATCTTACAGTCCTGGATGGATCCAGGACTTCGATCGTGTACATTTCCAGAATTAAAATGCTGGCCTCCAACGGCTCCCTATTATGAAAGTACGCCGAGGTATATGCCACCGTCCTAAATGTCCACCTATGTAAATATCAAACGTGTGGTGTCAAGGTGCAGCTATATGGGTGGACGTGTGGAGTTCGCGTGCTTGTTTTGTCTGAAAAGCGGTTAGGCTGGCACGATTAGCGTTTGAGATTAGCGGTGGCTACTGTGCCCGATTTGCAGTACATATGCCAGGTGTTCAGTAACGAAATGTAAATTGTTCAAAGTCAGACAAGCATTTTCACCAAGTTGATAAGCTTCGTTGTCTATGCAGAAATGTTTGCTTTCTTCCAATCGAAAGAGCGAGAGACGGTCTGCTTGTGCAACAGATCCAGTCAGTATCGCAGGCTGCGAATTACAGCCAATCGACGCTCGGCAGCCAGTAGAACGCGCGTACTAGCGTTACATTAATTAACCCGAGCTGCGGCTGGATTGACGGACGCAGACCAACATCCACTAAGGAGCTTTGATTGCACTAATACTGGATATTGAAAATTATTAATGACCTTCAGCTAGCGATGCTTAAATTTTTTTTATATAATCTTTTAGTAAATCGCTTTTTCAGTTCAATCTTGCTTCGAAGTATGTAGAGACGGTCCAAAACTTTTACCAACCGGACGAAACTGATACTTTCCTCGTCTGTTTGCAGATTGTCTATGCATTTATGCACCAGCTCCAATTTACTTCGTACAGTATTATAGCTGGTTATCATCGAATACTGAGCTCCTCATGTATTTTCCTTCGTGTATTTGCATTCATCAATAAACTCAGGCAGCTTCCATGACGACGTGCCACAAACACCATCATGTCGCCTGGAACACGTTTGTCGAAGATATGTAATATAAGAACATTTTTTGAACGACGAAATGCACACACCAAAGAACTCATGGGTATTTTAAATACCGCACTGTAGTTCAGCCCCCCCCCGTATCGATATAATGATGATCATTTTGGCAAGGATTTTCAGAACAGCTGCTTACGTTTATAGTTCGTTGGTTGATAGTTCGTATCCACTCTCTTGTGTGTACTGTAAGCGGTGTTTTCATCTGAAAAAGGTAAATTCGGTTGGCGAGCACATGGTTTCTAGATGTATTGCTGGAAATCTAATTGGGTATTAAAATCGGAGATTAGCATTAAAATGAAATATTAGACATAATATTCTACCATTTCTATCCGATTGTAATATCCAATTAAATTTTTGCACGAGCGGGTGCAGGCGCTGGGTGCTGCCGCGGATGACCAGCTCGAACGTGACCACCTACGGCGAATCGCCGCAGGCAGCCGCTTGGTGTACGCGTGGTCCACGCCCGCGGGTGGCAGCTTGGCATACACGCTGCCCACGTTCGCAGAAATCGGGCTCACGTACGAGCTGCCATAAGACACCTTCTTCTCGTGCTAGGCTAGATATGACAGGAGCATGTCCTTGCCCTTGTTGTCCAGTGCCTTGTTGAACCTGACCGACATCGTGAAGAAGACCACGTCCTCGCTCGTCTTCGGCCACTTGCCTGCCTTGCCCCCGTAATACTTGCCTCAATGACCGTCTCAGCATCAACGCACTATAATCTTCAGTCACTGGACAGTCGTGTACATGTAAATTGGGATTGGAGGAGACTTTCAGCTACCCCGTCCATACGTGATTTTCGCGAGCCTCCACTTGGAGCAAAATCTTCTTCGGCAGGAATCGCGATGGCGAGGACAATAGCGAGACATAGAAACGATCAAACGTACTCTCGGCATCATATACAGTTGCTCTTGTACGACCAGCTTTGCTAATTCATCAAACAGGAAATCGTTTAGAAAAAATATTGATGCACGCTGAAATGGTAAACGCGACGAAAGTGGCGTATCAAGAGCGTCTCCTTGGCTCAAAAACAATTTGTGGAGTAATAGCAGCCTTGGTGCATGCTCTCGCAAACAATGAACACCTCGAAGAAAACCTCCAGTCGTTTCTCGATTCCCAAGCATTTTTTTTTATTGGCGTGCAATCGTCTGAATCGCAAACTGCGCCGCAGCATTCCCCAGGCCAGCACCAATGTCAAGAAAGACGTCGTCTCGATGCACAGCCCCAATCATTTTCATCAAGCTTGATATAGCGACAGGCAGCATCTCACCTGCGTTCTCACCCGTCTTACCATCTTGTTGACGAACGTCCGCGGCCGAAACGTTGCTGAAGATATCGGGGATAGCGCTTTCGGCTTGGCTCGGCTCCACAAGTCGAAGATGCGGCTTGTGAGATAATGTTGGCGTCGACGTGGAGAAAAAAACAGGGTGGAAATCTTGATAGATCACGTCCCTACGTGCGCTTCAGAGCACGCAGCCGGTTCTCAAGCGCTTGGTTAGAATGTTTACTCCTCATGGCCCGCGCCACCTCCTTCCACTCTACTCGCTTGTGTTGGAATTCATACTCGAGTGCAAGCGCTACAATTCGTTTGCCTTGTGCGTCGGTGAAGTTGGTCCGCATAGCAAAAAAATACTGAAAGAGAAGGCATGCATCTAACCTAGGAATACTATAGTTGATACCAGCACGATTGGTGGCTCTGGGGCTGAAGCCTCGACCAAATTTTTATGATAGGTTTTAGGATCTGGTAGCCTTATTTACAACACGTTTTTTCCTTGCGCTTCGTGCGGCTACCAGCCGAACCGCAAATATGACGCTAGGCTGGCCGAAAAAGATACGCGCTCTCGCGATATTCACAACTCAGTTTCGCCAGTCGGCACAGAAAGGATCTATCAGAAGCCGTAATCCGAAGATCTGATTGGCAAAAACAAAACAAGGTGTGGATTTTGTAGAACGCGGCAAAATGCCGCGTTTGACCACGAAAGGGTTAATAGCCTATAGCTACTACGTGGCTATCCAACGCTCGTATCCACTCTCCTGTGTGTACAGTAAGCGAATGTGTTATCATCTGAAAATGGTAAATTCGGTTGACGAGTATATGGTTTTTAGATGTATTGCTTGAAATCCAATTGGATATTACAACCGGGAATTAGAGCTAACATATAATATTAGACATAGTATTTTACCCGATTGTAATATCCAATAACATTTTTAGGGGCTGGATTGTACCAGACATGCCAAATTTACCCTTTTCAGGTGAAAAAGATACTAGAATACTATACATGTACAGCGCCCAAGAGACGCCGAATCAAGCCAGTGCTAAGTTTACGCGTGAAATGAGTAATATTGAGGCTGTCAAATGGCGAGCTTGTACTGCATGCACCACGTGGTTCTGCACGTGTTTTTTTATGGTCAAGGTTAGAGGCACTAAACTAGGGAGTTGGGCTGGTAGTGCTGATGCGCAGCGCTAGTAGCCCTTGAAAGCCAAAGACTTCGCACCAACTCCCTTACCATCAGCGGGGTCTTTTGTTCTATTAAACGCACTACTTTTAATGAAAACTTACAAATTCGTAGTCATTTCCAATCAGCCGGGAGGTCCTGAGTGTTTTTCTTCTTCTTGCTGCTTTACATTCTGTAGATTTTAACACCTTATTTCCTGGTAGTGCTACGAGTAGTATTACGTACAGCCCAATAGGGATTAATTCGAGATTATGTGCGCACACCAATAGTAGGTATCAATTCAATACAAATTTCAAATGAGAAGGTTTTATTTTTGGCGATAGAGCCCATGTTTTTTAAAAGGGTTAGGTGTCAAAACAATGGTATTAATAATCATGGATACATGTCCAGGTATCATCCATGTTTTCTCAAAATAAATTACGAACTACCTTACAGGATTTGAATTTTTTCGGTACATGCTTACCATGTTTTGAAACATGGCGAAACATATTGACAGCAAGGCGTGAAAAATCAAGAATGACCGCACTTTCACTCTGTCGGCTACACTTCGCACTCTTACCTGTCATGGGTTGAAACTACGTTTCGTAATGCTCGCATGACACGTCTACACCTCCAAGACGCTGAAAACATGCAAAACATGGAGCGAAACATGTATTGATCACTCGTTATCCTCGTCTTCCTTCTTGCAAGAGTCGCTGAGCTCAATAACAGATCGCAGCACATCCCAGCGACGGCGCAGCAGCCCAGTCTCGGAGTAGTCGTTGCCAGCTTCCTTGTACACCCGACGCCAAAAGTACAGACAGACAAACAATCCCCAATTGTTGCTGTCAGTCTGGACAGAGGTGTGGACAGCAACAATCTTGTACGGCTGCTTCATAACTCTCTGGTTGAGTTCCTGCACCAGCTCCTCCAGAAAATTGTGGTAAGCGCGCTTGTCGAGACTATCGTAGCAGTATATAGTCTGCCGCGGTCGGTTGACAACAAGACACATCCAATGGTTTCCATTGACATTCAACGGCATGAACACCCAGTCCTTGTTGCTGCCCGTCAGTAGACCTAATGTTCATGGCCCAATGCGCTTGCCCTTGTCTGGCGCCGGTGTCTTCAATTGTGGTAAATAGACCATGCAGTTGTTGTCGTACTTTACCTCCAGCGTTTTGGCAAAGGCTTGGATGTAGTTGTCATTATACCAGCAAGCGTCCCCAGCACAATACAAGTACGCCCAATTCATTTGAAAGCCTTCACCAAATCCTGAAAGGCGCTTGGCAGGCCAGGTCCCAATCATCTGCTTTGCGACTGAAGCTGATACTTCGTCATAGATTAGTTCGTCCACCTTGCTCATCAGCCATGAGCATCACTTCAGTCCGTTTGTGCAATCGCTCATCATGTCACCCAAGTATTGCATTGCCATGAGTTGACGCTGCGTAAACTTCCCAACTGTAACGGGCCTGGGGTGTCCATAACTTGCTTACACGTAGTGATGAGGAAGCGTACAAGTCCAGTGATACTGAAACCAAGTACTCAGTCCGAAGGAAAACCAACTCTGTTTTTATTTAGGTCCAGGGCGGCTTGCCCTGACCACTCAAATACACGTCAACTCCTCATTGGTTGATTATGGGTCTGGCTCCCCATATTTCAACCAATAAGGTGACGGCAGCTCAGCACACGCTACTCGTGTGCTGCTGCACCTACTTTTGTAATGCAAATCTACCTACTTATGTAATGGTGTGAACCACTACAAAGAACCTATAAAACTTCCTACAAATGTAACTTGGGAAGGCCCATTACACCAACCCCTTCGATGTCCGCTACTCCTTACTTGGGACCGGGGGTGTACTCATGTCCATGACATCCCCGTACGGTGTCAGGCAATCGATGAGCTGTAACGCCTTCTTTACCAACTGTTCAGGCAGTCGATACGGAACGCAAGTTTCCGTGGGTACTTTTTTTTATAGCTTCAACCTTTTTTTTCTTGCGCCCGTTGTGACGCGTCTCGAACGTGTTCAGGTACGACGACAACTCCAGTAGCAATGGCTTACTAGTCTTCAGAAATTCCTCTACCCGAACAACATCATCACCGCGAAGTGCGTTTCTCAACTTGGCTCCTTGGTTGTACTCTTTGCGGTCTGCACTTTGTAGAGCATCTTGTGCTGCTCTGTTTTTCTTTGCGCGACCCAATTTCGAAGTCCGAGGACTAAACGGCCTGACGACAGGCTTGACAGTACTTTCAGTGTCAAACTGCTTCGAAGTAATTGACTGCACGAATGGCTTAGGCGCAGTAGCCGTCAGTTGGTCATCCGCACTACCAACTTCGCGAGCGCTCCCCATGTCGTCATTATCTTTGCTTTCATAACTAAGACCTGAAGCAGTTACCTGCGTTGGCGGAAGATCGATTTTTGAAACACTCGATTGCGTGACTGAAAAACAGACGTCACCCTGTCGCAAATTCCCCCACCATGTTTCCAAATGGTCCATTGCTGCTGTAAACTTTGCGTCGGGAAGGTCGGTTAGCTCCGATGTGAGCCTACTGAAGACATTCTTTACGCTCTTGTGCTTGTTGCGCTGAGTCGTCTGCCTTTTCCGCACAGCATCGTCCACCTCAGTGTAGATTCGCGTGGTGATTCGAATTCGGCTAGCTCCTCTTGCAGCGTGCCAACACGAACCCACCTTTTAATTCACATCATAGTTATTACATGAAAAATACATACAACAAATATCGTTAGAAATCGATAAAATACATGTTAAAAACATGGATAAAACATGGGTTTTACCTGTCCGGGATTGATGCGTAAGGAATTGTGAGAAGAGAAGCAACGTGTTTGCGATGGATCATGCCGTGGCGACATGGTAGTTTCATGGTCGATGTGAACTCACATGGGCACATCCAATCAAACTTGTCCACGCGGTGAGACCTCCCGTCTCGCTTTAACGTAATGTGCAGCTCTTTGTCCTCGATAACATAACTTTTCATAGCGTCTGGGCTGATAGCAAAGGCGTACTCCGTCTTAAACACATCAGCCAACCACTCACTTGTCATCCCGAGCAGTTGATTCATCTCCTCGCTGTAGTTTATGCTTCGGGTGGTACTAGGCGTAACGATTTGGGAGACGTATTCGTCTTCTCTGCGGTGCTGGTACCAGCTCACAGCTTCCAAACACTGATTCATCGACATCGCGCTATCCAAACTAACTTTGAGCTTGCCAAAAACGTTTTCCAGTAGGTTGTTCGTGTTATTTCGGAAGTGTGGCAAATCCATTCGGTAGCACATGACTCACATCTCCTTGCAGACCATCCAGTTCTCGTCCAAGTATGCCCACAGCTCGTTACGCTCGCCCCGACGAGACAGCAACTTGAACTCACCTGCGTTGTGTTGAAGCTCATTATCTGATTTGGAGTAAACCATATTGGCAACACAGAAATCCATCTGCTTCAGCACACTACTCGAATAGGTTCCATACTTCTTGTCGTTGCGGATAGCACCACGCAGCCACTTGATCACGTGAAATAGACATAGCAAAATGCGCGCCTTTGGGAACATGTTTTTTAGCACCGCGATATCATTCAGATCCTTGTCGACCATGATAACCTTCGTCATTTCCCAATCATTCACCTCCTGGAAATGGTCTATAAGCTTTAGCATGTGCCAATAGGCATTCCGCTCGATTACTGAATGCTGAACCGCCTGGCCGTTCCCGAATTGATCCATTACCATAAATATGCAAAGTTGGTAGTTGTATCTACGTAAGTAGCAAAGGAGCACCACCAAAATCATGGTTGTACATGGTTAATACATGACAAGGAAACATGGTTTATAAATGGCTGAAACATGCTGTAAACATGTAGAAGGAGTGTACCTGTTTGTTTTGTGGGTGCGATCTACAAGCAATAACTCAGGGAAACGCTTGTAGAGCCTGCGCATATGTTGCGTGCAGATGGACACCACGGCCGTTTGACCTCGACTGTTGACTTCAACCATGGCCACGTTAGCTTCACCACCCAAACTAAACTCCACAAGCAGTTCTGCTACTTGATCTTCGTCGGACAGCGTACTACCTGCATAAAATACAACTTGGTTACTCTTTATATTGTTTACATGATCTCGATTTACTACGAACCTGACTTCTTATCTTCGCAATGAGGTTAAACACGTCCTGTATCTGCATCCTGTGCGTCGGGTTGGTACGAATGTAATCATAAAGGCGGCTGGGCTTACTCCCACTTGCAACCATGAGCTCCACATCGCGCATGATCGGCGAACTGGCGGGTATCTGGCGAACCGTCGGATATCCGTCGTATATGTCTTGCGACACAGGGTGATTGTGCCCATAAAAAGCCAATTTTACTTCAACACACCACGCTCCACGTTCTTTCTCGTACAGTTGTGCCACAAAGCGCACCTGGCACTCGGTGAAGTTGACTCTGTGAACAGGCCGTTTTCCTTTTGATTGAACACGGTTCTTCCATCCATGGGTACAGATGGTCACAGGCTTAAATGGATCCAAGGATTCGGGAACAAGGAACAAGTCCGAGTCGCGTAACACAGCAAACATCTTCATCTTCCGAATCTGCCGGTTGCGGAGTCGAACATTTAGCGTTTCGAAAGCCGCCAGTACTTACATCGTGTTCTGTTGGTATTGAAGCAGATACTCTTCAAAATTCTTTCAATTTTCATGATATTTTTCAGGCCTTCGACGTAGAAAAGTTCGTTTGCACACTCCATTAGCGCGCGCTTACGTGATCGGGCGCTTGTCGAAGTCCCGGAGCCATCATTTTCACTAGGCGAACTCTCCTTGCTACCCGAAGAATAAACCTGCGCATATTCCTCTTCGTCCTCACAACTGCTTCCAGCGTGTTTTCCGGTCAGATGCTCATCACTAAGCCTGTCCGTGGCCTGGGCAGCAGGAACCACATCAGTGTCCCCATCACGGCTACTTGGCCCCTCTGTCTTCTGCTGCATGGCTAGCATAAGTGGCGTTCTTTGTGCGTGCCATGTTCTGAATAGATAATGACCTAAGCACAGATCATACATGGTTAGCACATGTTCAAAACATGGGTGAATCATGGAGCATTTTAGCATCCATCCAGCTACGTTACACGTACGCGTCAGGAGTTCAGGAGTTACAGTAAGCCCGTGGATGAGCTACACCGCCGAACGAAATTTGCAATTTAACAATAAAGATCAGCTTTTATACATTCATAACTTGCTAAGTGCTAGCAACATCTCGCGTCAAGACATGCTGACCAGAGCTACCTGCTCGGCACGAAGAGGAGCGATGGGACCTCGGGGCACTATGCGTGGCTCTGGACTCGTTCCGTACGGTGGTCTGCCCGATTAGGGAACCTGGAACTGACACGTGGCAAAAGCTCGTCAGTTTTGGGCGTTATACGGTATATCATAGGAGACAGAACGGCGCTACGCCGTCATAGAGGTACTTACCGGATGTACAGCAGGTCAGGATGTATAGCGGGGCTTCGTTTCGGTCGCTCCGACCGGGGGAAAATGGCGCTCCAGCGCGTGCGCCGCGTGGCAGAATGGCTGGCTCGATCGGTAATTAACAACTGGGCGGGAGATATAAATTACAAACATGGCCACACATGGATACAAAACAGTTTTAAATATGGTGATTGAAACATGGGCTGTACATTTTCCGTTTATTTTTCTACCAATTTGTATAAACTTCACAGCTTTCACTCCAAGTAACGGTTTGGCATGGGTATAAACTTATAGAAACTTGGTGTACGAAAGAAAATATTGCTTACTTTACAAATGCTTGGAGATTTTTTTTTAGAAAATTTACTTTTCAGTTTTTCTTCCACGGGTAGGTGTTGTGCTAGAATATCACTATTGTCGTATTTGTAGATCTTAACCCCTCTAGCCCCGCGTTTTCGGGCGGAAATTACCCTGTATTCTACAGGGTAAGAAAATGACTTGGGTTTAGTATTTGCGGAGTTTTTCCAAGCTCACAATCTCTGTCAGTTATCTATTCTGTGCAGTACAGGGTAAGAGTTAAAATGGTGGTT